CGATGGTGGCTGTCGGTGGAATTTCGGTGTCACTTCTTATGATTCATTGGAGGTATCTCTGTTCCTCGGTGTGCGTGCCATGTGTGTGTGTGTGATGTGTTAGAAGTTTGTTTTTCTTCTCTCTGTGTATCTTTCTTATTCTCTCAATGTTTCTCTTTGTCATTCTTTCTCTTTTCTGTCTCTCTCCTCTTTTTTCTCTTTTTTTTTTCTCTGATCCCTCTTTCTTTCTTCCTCTCTCTCTCTTCTCTCTCAGACGCTTTCCTTCCCCCCTCTCCTCTCCTCTTCTCTCTTCTCCTTTTTTCTCATCCTCTCGTCTTTCTTCCCTATTCTCTCTTCTCTCGTCGCTCTCTTTTCTCTCCTCTACTCTTCTGGTCTATCTCTCTCTCCTCTCGTCCTTCTTTCTCGTCGTCTCTATCGAATGTATCTCCTCTCCTCTCATTTCTCTCTCATCTCTCATCCTCTCTCTCATCTCTTCCTCCTCTCTTCTCTCTCTGTCTCCCTCACTCTCTCCCTCTCTCGCCCTTCCCTCATCTACTGCTCCCTCTCTTTCCCTCTTCCTCTCTCCCACTCTCTCCCTCTCTCCTCTTCTCCCTCTTCTTTACCCTTCTTCTCCTCGTCTCTCTCTCTCGAGTACGAGTCCTCATCTCCTCCCTCTCTTCATCGATCCTCTCTCTCTCTCAAGTCCTCTTTCTCGTCTCTTATCTCTCTCTTCTTCATCTCTCTCTCTCTCGTCTCGACTCGCCTCATAGTCGCTCTCCTCTCTCTCTCTCTCTCTCTCTCTCTCTCTCTCTCTCTCTCTCTCTCAGACACCTTTATCAATTTCTCTCCCTTCTCATCTCCTTTCTCGTATGTGCTAGAATTATCAATGCTTCAAATGTGTTTTACATGGTGGTAGATGAAATTGCAATATATCATTTCAAGTGCAAATGACACAGCTGTCAGAGAACCTAGATAACCCTATCATACCTTCTCTCTTACACACACACACGCGCGCACACACAGAACAGACGCGCTCGCGTATTAAAGTACGCCCTGCTTCTGTTCACAGCTCCCCCTTCCCCTCTCTCTCCCTCTCTCTCTCTCTCTCTTCTTCCCTTCGTCTTCCTCACCTCAATGTTTATATTGGCCTCGAGCTCTCCTCCTCGCTCCCTTCTTCTCCTTCAAACATTTTAGAAGCCGCGCGTGATTCACCTCCATCCTGGGGCATTTTTTCGATCCGCTTCGTAACTGTATCAGGATTACGAATATTTCACAAGGGGTTTGACCAGCGCCGCTCAGCTGGTCGAGGGCTATTCACACGAGGATGACACTCGAGTCTGCTCCCCAGCTGAGTCTGGCGATCAGCCGGAACTCGTGAGGGCGTGAGGACGATGAATCAGCTGCTTTATCGAGGCGGTCAAACCACGTGACGTGTCAGGGTCTTCACTTGACCGGAAGCTTGGCATGTGCTCTTGGAAACTTGACTCAGGTGGAAAAGGGAAAACAGCCTGAGATGTGTTTCTTGGAAGCTAACTATCGACACAACGAATAAAGATTGAGACGAAGGGTGTCTGATGAAAAGTAAACTTCTATTTATGATAGGAAACACACACACACATGCCTACATACATGTTAGAGAGAAAGAGAGAGAGGCATACACAGAGAGAGAGATATATTGAAAGAAAAAGAGGAAGAGAGAGAAAGAGATATGAAAGAAAAGAGAAAGAGAAAGAGAGAGAGATATTGAAAGAAAAGAGGAAGAGAGAGAGTGTGAGACACCTGTATCTGTGTGTGACGCATTAATATATACTTACATGTCATTTCAAAAAAATAAACATATGATGGCAGAGAGTTCAAAAGTAAAAGTGAATCTCAGATAACTTCTGCAGACTCTGAGACGACGTGAGATGCAAGATACACCCACCCCCCTGTCCCCTCCCTTCAGTGAGACATTCTCAAAAGACGCGCCCGGCAGCTTGTACATCCGATATTATACTCTTCATATATTTTTTTCTGTACATAAATTTACGCATATTAGCAGTGATAAACCGTAGCAATGCCATTTGAAGGTTCCGTTATTGATGCTCATTTCCAAATGCAATCTAATATACAAACTAATATGTTTTGCTAAAGTTGTTACATTTAATTGGCAGAGGGAAACCTTTTGGCAGCAGAAACTCTATTTACTCAGAGATGGGTGTCGAACAACGTTAATTAGGAGACGGATGTAACAAGCATGTTTGACATGTGTCCGCAGGGAGAAATTATATATATAAATACATGCTTATCTTCCTAACTGCATATTTTACTAATGGTTCTTCTGTTCCAAGACATGTGTCATTTCTGAAAATTCATTCTCAGAAAGGATTTGTTTAAAGTAAAATTTCGTCGGAAATCGTATGAAGAGAGGTTCAGGGTTTTGGATCATCAAATAAACTGTTTTTAAAGTGATATTTTATCTTTTCAACATTTAAAATCAATTACAAGTTAAAACAGCGTCTTTCTTCTTTTTCGTCTCATT